GACGATCACTAAATTGTCGCAGCGCATGTTGTACCAAGTCCATGATACACCCAGTTTCGACTTTGGCTTGCTTTTCCTTCTTAGTGCATGTTCTTGTTCACGTAAATGCGACCTCTCACCAATGTATTAAAACACTTTGAATTTATATTTATGCGTAATTATATTTGGTCTACGCGAAACATTAATCTTTCTAAACATTTTCTGAGACCATGCATGATATATATTCACAAAATAATGCGATCATATTATATATTATGTTGATCTCTACGTCTTTCTGGATCGTTTTGTGATTTTATTCCAAGGCTCGGGCAAATAAAATAATGTCAACTATTATAGATTAGTTTCCTAGCTTTTGGCTCAGCCAAATTGGTTTAATTTTTCATTAGAACTTTGTGATCCTTTTAATTTCCCAGTTCTCTGTGTTCATTAATGGTCTTGACAACAAGTGTGAATTGCTGTGCGAGCCCACCGCGGAAGACCGCGGTGGATGATGCGGTGGACCGGCGAGCACCCACCACCGCGGTAATGACCGCGGTGCACCGCCCGTTTGATTTCTTACTCTTCCCTTAATTAGATTTATATTGTAATTTTACACAAAAAATAGTGAAATTAAAACCCAGTGAAAATGTTATGCATTGACAGTAGCCTAGCCACCATGGCAATTGATAAACAGTTACATGCAATGGAAAGCAAGCACTGTATTAAAAAGCAAAGCTACTTTTGCCTCAACCAATGTTACCATCAGACTGCTATTTTAGTTTATAGCAAGATTTTAGTTTTACTGTAGCATATTAATTTGTTTGTGAAGTTATTGTGTTTTAGAGCTTTCCTTTAAACAAATAATTCAGTATATCTTTTGTACAGTCAGCTGGCATACAAGTGGAATCATCATCATCTACCTCAGAAGCCAATCAGAAATTGCCTTCCATTTTTTCATACAAAAATGCTGAATGTGATCAAATTTTGTGAGAGGGTGCCTTAATTTATCCCAATAGATCACTAGGATGAAGAAGTTTGGTACTTTTACCCTGATTTGTAGGAATCAAGAAAACATGTTTCAGAGCGAATGTCTATCTAAGATTTGGTCCAGATTCAAGATGACTTCCCTCATGTAGTATGTATTTGTAAAATAATCTAATTTGTTTGATTACAATGCCAACTGAAAGCCCCCACAGATGAAAGGGGAAAACAAGGCCAACAGGTGATGTGTTACATCACTATAACAAGGCAATGATTTTAAGTCAATTCATAACATGTAAAAGTTGAGAATAACAACATGAACATTTCAGAGTGAGGAAAGAAAGTTCAAAAAAAACTACAAATAATATCTATTACCGTCTCATGAGTGCAATGTGAATACCAGTATTTGTTATAGGTTCTTATCTATAGAGAGTTTGAAGGGCTTATTAAAAGAAACATACCGACAACATCTTTGAAATCCAGTTTTAACCCATGTAATGAAATTAAAATCCACAACACCAGGCTTTGTACCAGGATTAGCTTGTCCAATATAAATATAAATAATTAAAGCCACAGATATATTGGCTAATGCATATCCCCACTGTATACAAAACATAATAAATATACAGAATATACCCTGCAAGACAAAAAGAAATAATTATTAGAGAAATCAGGCACACACAAACAAATTTTGATGCAAATTATGAAAAAAACAAAAATGTCAATATTGAAAATATATAACCTGAAATTTTATCTCAGTCTTTGTGGAGATGTGAATATTGAATATTTTTATTGGCATTGCCTTAGTGTTTCAGACACCATGAAGCAACATTGTCAGCTAAGTTACTGATTGTTTTGTTACGTGCTTATGTGATTGCAACAATTTGAGGCAAACAAACATCAACAGTAGAATCAAAACTAATACTGAGGAACACAGTTCTTATAGAAGACGCAACTATTTTTCCATTGATTTTTTATAATTGTATACATTGCTGGATGACAAATAGCGAAGTAAACCAAAATTATTAAACATAATGTAACATAGTGATGCATACTTACTGGTGTGTGTCTAGTGAGTAGTGAGTGGTATGGGGTTATATAGTAAACTGAGTTGTTGTCAATCCCTTATGTACTCAATATGTTCTCTATATTTGTAATGTACATGTAGCTAGCTATAAACCTAAAAGGCAATCATCTGGTTCATATCAGATTTGGGAGATATCTGTTAGAAACAGTCTTTTCCCCAAACAAATTTGTATTACTAGTAAAGTGCATGCACAAAAATGAAACACCTCATAAAAATGTTTTGATGTAATCAGTTCTAATCACATAATCTTGAAATACTGTACTGGCAAACCAGTCAACAACTTAGCTGGCAATGATACTGTTAGTGTCTGTAACAATATAGTGATGACAGTATCAAAGATTCCATATAATAATAATAAAATTATATAAACAATTCTACACTTACCCCACACATTGACACCCATCTATTGCACATATGTGAATACCAAGAGTCTGGCATCCTTGAAATTTCAGTATTAAATGGCACTCGAGATTGCTGCCCACTTTCAACTAGAAGATATAAAAAAAGAAATATTTAGCTACAGGTTCTATAATCCTATTGTACACGTTTGTGCTTGGAGAGAGATTGTTTGGAGGATTGGGGTTGATTGTTGGTTTGAAGGGAATTATTGGGATTACACATTACAACACAGGTGTGTATAATTATGTATTTTAAAGGCCCAGGTATACTATAAATACGCTTCAAACAATAGGGATTATTTCCTTGAAAGTCATGCTGTTGTAAACAGCTCCAGCCAGGCTCCTGTAAAGACACATTTTTACAGGTCGAGTATGTCACGAACCGGAAAAAAGGGACGTGCTACTAAGCTTGAATAATTAACTGCTGTCAATCAATGTCCCGTGATGTTGGGCTGCTGAAACAGATTGCGTCATTTAATCTCAAAAAACATTTACACAGTTCACATAGCGGAATCAACAAAGATAAAGAGCGTATTCCGGAAATAGTGCAGCTTATGACAAAATTGAACAGGAAGGAGACTTGAACCACAAGATCTCTAGGGTTGCCAATGACGGACCGATAATGTTACATGTGACTCAGTAAGAATTAATTTGTTTAGGGAAATGGCAAATAATACCGTAATTGTGTGCCCATGCACCGACCCATAGACATAAAATTTTTAACGTGACTACTAAATCTAGCTTTTACAATCACACTAACAGTAGGTGAACAAATGGCTAAAATTATTTATTTTACAAGTCCCGACTTTACTTGTCTAACTGGCCTTGTGCAAATTAGTAGATCTACACTAGTCGGCATCTAGCAATTTTATTTTGCGTTACAAGCAGCTGTGGTCAGTCTTCAGGTTATTGCATGTAGTGATGAAGTGATTTGAACACCATGCAGTAAATATTTTTTTTTATTGTTAACCTAAGCATACATGCCTCATAGTCATCGCTGTGGCCTCAGAGTTCCCTGATATAAGGGTGGTAAAATGGATATGATACGTCAATTCTGCATTTCAGACAAATGCTATTGTTGATATAAACATATTTCAAAGAAATGTTCAATGCCACATCACTTTGTAACACGTTCCATATTAGCTCCGATATTTGTCATTGCAGAATACCAATGCAGCTCAGGTCTGTGCTCTATGGAAGCAAGTCTCAGTGGCCCATAATACACTTTGATGCCTATGAGTATTAGTGCTATCAGCTTGTAAATAAACTATGAATTTCTGTAAACCTAAGCTATGCAAGTGATTAACAGCACTCACTAGCATAGCCACACCTCCAATAAACACTTGCCCGGAGAAAAATGAATTGGGTCTTTAATAAAAGTTCTCGGCCAACTTTGAAGAAGGGAACAGATCGAGTGGCCCCACAAATTTGACTCATTAGGTTAAGTCATTAGGTCATACTGTTTATTTGTCGATTGTGTTAACTACTCTAGCTAAACATGTCATTGAGGGATGAACTGTGTCATCCAGCATTCAAAATGAAGGAAGGAAAATTCCTCCTTCACACTGAAAAAAAGTTTTTTAAAATAAGTGAATTTCCCTCCCAATTCTGGATCACCCATGGCATTCTGGCATACATGAACTAAAAGAATAACATACATAGAATTCTAACAAATACAAAAATAATTATTAATATTATGCCATACTCACCATTATCATCTTTTTTCTTCTCTAATAACTGCATTTTATCATCCACCTCAACAGATTCTGAATGCGTGTCTATAGCTTCACCTGCTTTCTCAACCGTCTCATTATCATCCATTGATTTAAGTGTTGTGCCATACCCACCATTCGCAAGATCTGCTTCCTTTTTTTTAATGCTACTATCAATTACATGTGACAATAATGAATCCTGTTCACTTTTTGCAGGTAATTCTGTTTTCTTTTTGTCATAGCTCATAGCTAATGCAAAGTAGGCGTAGTCCACTACGGCGTACGTTAAAAGAAACGGCATGGTTACTATGGGGCCTAATTCATTCACATGGCCAATAAATATAAAAGCTATACTAATCACGCATACTACTATTGAAGCTAAAATCGGTTCCTTATTTGGTCCTTTCTGTAAATAAAAGAAAACAAGAAAATAAATAACTACTTTACTGTAGTACATATATACTCAGCTATGTGTGACTGACTGTATTTGATTGAGGATAATTAATAAATTAATTCATTCATTCATTTATTCATTCGCTTGTTCGTTCATTCATTTCCTTAATTTGTTCAATTTGATCAACTATATTTCCTGTACTGGACTAGACAGCACAGAAATAAACTTTAGAATAGACTCGACTCTCCTTAGCCCATTGTACGTCAAACTACAGAGTTGATTTACTATTAAAGTATTCACAGGATAAATGTGTGCCTATATTATTGTTATACAAACTAACTCTGCCTATGAAAAAACATCAACAAAGGTATGGTATGTTTTACACGTGTGTCACAGCACCGACTGGACTAACTTGGTAAACAATCGTTAAAAGTAGTTTTTATTGGTCCTGTGTTCATGCATGTATAAAGACTAAAGAAAGCCGGCGTTGTTATCGGCCGCCATGTTTCTTTAAAATACTTGCAATGTATAGAACTCCAGAGCGAGGCTGACATTGAGAATGAGCTTTTTAAGGTGGCGTTATTGTTCACACATGCTAAGTAAGTATGGAGGCCTGGTCAAGACTTGCCATTTTGGGCGGTCTTAAACTAAATCGGCATGGTGCCAGCTAACTTGTTCATATATGGTTTAACGTCGGCTTAACTATAAGGCTGGTCTCCAAACCGGCTTTTTGGCATACATGTAAACATGGAAATACTGTGTTATTGTTACATATTTAAAATTCTCATTATGGAAGGATGTAAAATGATAGCATGCTCTACCTTATGGCGATATGATGACAGATTTATTAAAAATTACTTACACCCATTGCAAGAACTTTAATTATCGGTATAACATTTTCCTGACAGATAGATTGTAAGACTCTAGGTGCTCCGTAAAGACCACTCAGACAGGATGACAAACTGGAAATATAAAGTCCAGCTAACCATAAAAATCCAACCAAGGCAACCTACAAATAAACATATGTGTATTAACCTAATACAGTTACATACACTGTATTTTATCGTGCTGGCAAAATCAATAGAAGCCATCATGACCATTATTAGGTCACTACAAGATCCTGTGTTTTGTGTGAAATTGAACATAAAAATGGAACAAACGAAAGTCATTGCATCATAGTGGCATCAAAAGAAGTGGAATTGAATACACATTCAAGTTTTTTGGGTTTTTTCTATGCTTAATATTGTGATACATGTATATGCATTTAATGACATGACAGTCAATTTTGATGAAGTAATGGTACCCCAACACCACATTTCCCTTTAAAAGATCAGCATTTCAACATTGAGCTCATTCAATTTTTGCTACAGATGTCCAGTCCACTGCTTTCACGCAAGATCTCATAGTGAACTAAATGAAACATCAATAGCGTAAAAATAAAAGTTGATGTGTATATATACTTGTCACATTAATAGATGAATTTATAATCAGACAAAGCTATATTGAAACTATTAAGTATGTCTGTACATGTGGCAAAGTCACAATTCAAAAGCACTTGAATACTATTATCATTATAGATGGGAAAATATGTCTTGCAATATTTTGGGGTTTTCACGTTCCTAGTATACTACTATGCATATGACAATGTTGATTTCACAAGCGATGAAGTGGAGTCTTCAAGAATACACAGTTTAGAGCATCTGTACCGAGCACATTGACCTTGTACCATATCAAGGTTGTTCTTGAAAGTTATGAAATTTTTGTAAAATGGGAAAACAATTTTTATTCAAAACATGCAAAACAAAATTTAATTGTTGACCTATTTATTGTGATCTGAATGTAGATAAAAAAACATCTCTGGTTGGTAACAGTCAAATAAATTTATTAAAGTTGTGAAAAACAGCAGTACAGGACATTACAGCTGATGACACGATCCCTCTCCCCCAACTTCATTTCATCCATCCCTATTTTTATCACAGAATCAAAACTGGTGTGCGATCAGTAATCTAGCAACTCGCTATTGAAAAACAAAGAATTTAAGTATTTTTGTGTTTTTGAAAGGATTTGAGAGAATCTGTAATAGTACTAGTGGATGGGATCCTACCTTTTCTGCTATCATCATGTCAGTTTGTAATGCCCATCGTTCACATGTAGCACCAAGAAGGACTACATACAAGAAATAGAGCAAAGCAGTGACACCAATGGCACTTAAAGTACCAACTGGAATATTACGTGATGGATTCTTTAAGTCTCCACTCATGTTAATACCAGCCATCACACCAGTAGCAGTCGGGAAGAAAACACCAAATACACTGAAGAATGTCTCCCCTGGTAAATACATTGGTGCTGTATTGTTACGAAGATTAATGAGTTTGTATCCAGTGAAACCATTTTCTATTTAAAGAAGAAACACATCAAAATATTACACTATA